ATAGACCTCATCTTTCCTCTATGGTATAGATCTCATCTTTTCTCTATGGTATAGACCTCATCTTTCCTCTATGGTATAGACCTCATCTTTCCTCTCTGATATAGATCTCATCTTTCCTCTATGGTATAGACCTCATCTTTCTTCTATGGTATAGACCTCATCTTTCCTTTTCTGGAACAACCTCTACATATCTGAGCCTCACTTTCCTCATGGACCATTAGGAACCGTTTTTCATACCCCCCCCCAACACTTTCTTAGACTATAGTTAGGAAGTCAAATCAATACACTAGGTACTGGACCTGAAGCTCTTGAAGCTGACAGAGCCCCGGCACTGAGGAAGTATCAGCACCCTGCCATCCCTCCCTGGCAATCCACGGTGACCGTGCAGCAGCAACAGCAGCAGCCATTCTCTCGAAAGCCCTTCTTCTTTTTGTCCAAGGGTGGCAGTTCTTACCAGTGGCTGCAGTCTTTCGTGGTGGTGGCTGTGCCAAAGGTGTAATGGCGGCCTTCAAGCTGACAGGGGCACATGCTGGAAAGCACACATTGGCCCTCCAGGCCCCACAGCAGTCCGGGGGGACAGTTACAACCGGCCACACAGCTGCCAAGCTCTTTACACTCTTCGGGCTCCCCACAGTGATGACCACACACTGGGGCACACTCCTGGTATTCCTGGCCACCAGGACACAGGACAGCTGGACACAGGGATACATGCAAATCAGAAGCCTAGCCACCCTGTCTAGACCTCAAGTTCCTGTGCCTCTACAGGTAAAAGTGCCTAGGAATAGTCTGGTAAGGAACGAGTTCCTGCCCCTCCGACTCCCCCAAATGGAGGGCATGAGGAAAGGGAGGTGAGGAGCCCAGGGTAGGGTTGGCTTGGTGGGGAGACTCACGGCACAGCGTCTCATTCCTCCATTGCATTAGGACACCCTCCTGGGCACAGCGGCGTGCATAGGCAGAGAGCACGGAGCACAGACAGTTCCTGCCAGGGGCACAGCCACACACAGCCTCCAAGCAGCGCAATCGGAATGGTTCTCTGTCTACTAGCCCATGACACTCCTTTGGGCAAAAAGAAAAGGGATGGTTCTTTCTTCATGGAGTCCCTTTCCTTGGGAGCCCACTGACGTCTCCCTGTGCCCTTGACTCTTTCTTGCATTTTGGATCCTTGATCAAATGGGCAGAGAATGGGGACACCCTAGTACCTGAAAGGTGGGGCCATGCAGGATGGCGCAGGCTGCCTCTGCGAAAGGGAGGCGCTGGGAGTAAGTGCTGCAGGAGGACAGTGGGGTGTTATCCATCAAAGGGCACCTTCCATCACCTGACACTTGGAACTTGCTAGCAAAGGCAGTGACGCTGGTCTCTATGTCCCCAGCTGGTGTCAGGAAGTCATCCTGCTGTTTCCAGGTAAAGGTGCCACATAGACCCTGCACCTGCGCCATGGAAGACATAAAAGTGAAATCCAGTCTTAACTTAGCCTAGCCCAGACACTCACTAGCCTCCTAGCATACCTGATAGGCATGGCGGGGGTCCAGGGTGATGTAGACTGCAGGGTCAGCCACTCCCCAGAGAACCCAGGCCCCAGGCCAGCGCAACAGCAAGAAAGTGGAGGAGGCACGGGAAACATTGACGTCCTCAGCACCAATCCAGGGCAAGCCTACATCCTGCCCATCTACCAGCACAGCTCCTGGAAGAGAGGCCTGACCATGTGATAGGGAACCTGTGGGAGGATGGGGCTGCAAGATGGGAAAGACTTGGCAAGATGGGAGAGTATGTGTCAGGGTGGGATGTGGGAGGAGCTAGAGTGACCCCTGGAGGCCACCTGTCCTACCAGAGACCACCCTTTCATGGCTCAAGAGCCCACATCATCATGTATTTTTGCATATCCCTTTGTTTGTGTGGTCAGTATGTGGGAGAGCCAGCCGCAGGCCCAGGCATGGCAGAGCTGGAGGGACAGGGGCTGAGAGGGGCCAGCCTCAGCTGCTCATGCGCAAGGCCTTTCCAATTCATATAACTGTGTGACTTGTGTTTACCACTGAAAACCAGCAGACGATGTCTTGGGAAATATCCTTGGGATAGTGTGTCTGCCCCTGGGAGGGGAACGTGAGGCAATGTAGGCATTAAGTTCATCTGCAGGAATCTAGAAGGGATGGTTATTGAAATCCAAAGAGGGCGTGTGGAGGGCAGGCTCGGGGCAGGCCTGAGTTGGCAGAGTAAGAGCAGTGGACAACAGGCCCAGTCGGCACCCCGAAGAAGTAGACAGCAGAGCCGTTGACTCCCCTGAGAACAAAGGCCCCACACTAGACAAGGAGGCAGGGCTGACAGTACCTGAGTATCTGAGCTGAAGGTGGGTGTTTCCCAGGAAGACAGAGAGGGCATGGAGGCAGCTGCCCGTGTCACAGGCCCCATGCTCCAATGCAACCCGCAGCTGGCCTTTCACAGAGTCCTGGCAGAGACAAGGTGGCAGGGGCGTGTAGAGAAGCCATGAGGAAGCCTCAGTAGTGTGATGACTTCAGCTCCCACCCCACACAGGTGCGAACCAACTTCTCGCCAGACAGATTCTGTGAGGCAAGGGACTTAACCTCACCAGGGACTGACATGGGTGAATGGATGTGAGTGCATGTGGGGAGGAGATTTTGTGTGACCGCGCGCGTGTGTGTGTGTGTGTGTGTGTGTGTGTGTGTGTGTGTGTGTACACTTTGGAACGGGAAGATCCCTATCTTTCCTCCCTGTAGATGTTCCCTATTTGGATACATATATGTGTAGACATCTGTTGAATCTACATACACATACATGACTGTGTGTATGTGTGTGGCCCATGTGCTGGCATGCAGCCTCCATCTCTGTGTGTATACATCATACATGTTTGGCCAGGTGACTGGGAAACAGCTCCCTGGATCTGCTTGTTGACCCTGCCCTCCCCGATGTCCTCACCCCACTGTCACCCAGGCAAGGAGGGACAAGTCAGGGGGTTGCAGTAGTCCGACACTGAAGTTGAGAGATCCCTGATCAGCCCTTGGAAGGACTGAAGCACAGCATGGTGTGTGATGAACTGGAGAAGCCCCAGCTTTCTTGGGGAGGGACGCTTCTCTCTTCTGCCTGTGACAAGCCCAGGGTTTTCCATCTGTAAAAGGAACTATGAAGATGGGTTTGGTTCTGTGGGACTAGAAAGGAGGGTGTGTGTGTGTGTGTGTGTGTGTGTGTGTGTGTATGCGTGTTTGTGCATGTGTGTGTGTATGTGTGTTTGTGCATGCATGTGTGTATGCATGTTTGTGCATGCATGTGTGTGTGTGTGCATGTTTGTGCATGTGTGTGTATTCATGTTTGTGCATGCATGTGTGTGTGTGTGCGTGTTTGTGCATGCATGTGTGTGTGTGCATGCATGTTTGTGCACATGCATCTCAAGTATATGTGTGTGGGTATGCAGGCAGCCACTCTCCTGCCGCCACTGCTGTCCATCTCTCCTCGAAAGAGGCTCTATGTTCCATGTTCCACCTCTTGCTTTAGTGGCTTGTTTACAGTTAGGTCCCCTCAGAGCTCCCCTGGGAGGGCCCCGCTCTGACAAAATCCTCTTTCTGAAATAGGCTCTCTGCTCACCTGCACCAAGCTGTAGTGGCAGCCTGGATTGCCCCTGAAGGAGAAGCTCCGCCCATCAAACGTGGAGTAATGCCCGTCACCGCCCACTGCACATTCAGCAGGGCACAGGGCCTGGGCACAGTGCCAGCGGCCATCCTGGCATACACTAAGGGCAGAGGGGGTGGGACAGTGTGCTGTGACACCAGAACCCTCCCAGAGCAAGGAGCTGGACACGACCCACGCCCAGCCCATTGGTTCTTTCTCTCCCCTGGCACACCCACCACCATAGTCATTAATCATGCCAGAGAATGCCACAGGTCACTGGGTGGGAAGCCCCAGAATGCACTAGTTATTTGGGGGATCGAATCTCAGAGACAGCATAACGGAAAGTATTGGGAGAACTACGTGGCCTACGAGAGCCCCCAAAGACCCACCAAGGGTTGCACCGCTGGTGCACAGTGTCCCCAGGGGCGTAGCGCTGGCGCCGGTGGTAGCAGGGGCAACGGGCAGCAGGCACACAGCGGGCACCGTCCCAAAAGAGGCCAGCCGGGCACTCACAGCCACTCAGACACTCTTTCCCACAAGACCCCTCCTCTCCCTGGGCTACTGCTGAGCAGCTGGGTGGGCAGGATGAGACACAATCGGAGTAGAGTTGCCCCCCTGGACACAGGCGTTCTGTGGGAACAAAAATGTTCTGTGAAGGGCGGCTGGCCTTGGAAGTCCGGCAGGCTCTGGGAGACAGCCAAGGGGCCCTCGGGAAACGGGCCACTCAAGGATCTTGGTCAGTTTGCGGTGGGCAGACCCAGCATACCACAGAAGCCAGGCTTCCTCCAGTGCACGTGGATGTTCTGTCTAGCACAGGCCCGGGCATAGTTGGCCAAGGTGGCACACACAGCTTCCCGTGGCTCCTCTGAGCCACTGCCTGCTCTGGCTCCAACACAGTAGGCAAAGAGGCAGGTCTCGTGGTACTCATCTGGGGGCACCTGCAGGGAAGGGAGATCCTCAGCCAGCAAACGTCCCTCCTCATCAACATCGTCCCTCCTCACCAACACCGGCCTCCTCTTCCTTTACATCCCAGCTTGAAACGAATAATAAGTGCTGGAAGAGGCCTCCACAGCCACAAGAACAGCCATCTTGTTCTCAGAAGTAAAACCAAATACAAGGAAGGGGTGTCTCGATTGGTGACCCAATGAACCTAAAGGCAGGCTCAGATCACCCACCTGGTACCTCTCAAGCATCCACTATCCCCTGCAGAACCCTGCCCTCCATCCCAACCATACCTGGGCATGACATTGCCAGAATGGATCCTCCAGCAGCTGGTGGCATATATCCTGGGCTTGAGCTTGGAGCTTGCCAGCTTCCAAGCCTGTTTGTGGACCTTGCAGGACACCGTCACAGCCCTGGGCCACCTCCACGGCATCCAGACACCCAGGCTGAGGACAGAACCAGGCCAGGAAGCAGTGACAAGGGGCATTAGCCAGGAAGACAAGAAAGTGACTCCTGCCCTCATAGTTGCCTCAACTATCATGCCCACCAGACCTCGTTCTGGGCTGCAGATGGAGGTAAAGTGACAGGCCCACCAGCCCAGAGAAAGAGGGGCCAGGGTCAGTCAGCCCAGACAGAGCTGGTCAGTAGCCACATCAGGGAGGACCCTGGGGTAGTCATTACACAGCAGTCGCCAGCCTCCTGTGGGACCTGGAACCCAGATGAGTACCACGAGACCTGCCTCTTTGCCTACTGTGTTGGAGCCAGAGCAGGCAGTGGCTCAGAGGGGCCGCGGGAAGCTGTGTGTGCCACCTTGGCCAACTATGCCCGGGCCTGTGCTAGACAGAACATCCACGTGCACTGGAGGAAGCCTGGCTTCTGTGGTATGCTTCTGTGTGCTCTTTCTGAGGATCCCAGGAAAACGGTGGGCAGGCAGGAGGCAGTCTCACCTCATAGTCAGGGAGCCTCCACGAATTCCCAAAGGTGGCCGCTAGCATGGCCAGTCCCCCTTCTGGCTCCACAAAGTCATCTGAGGACATTTGAGGCCAGTGCTAGACCTGGAGTCCTATGTCTTTTCCCTCCCTCCCTCCCTCCCTCCCTCTCCCCTCCCTCCCTCCATCCGTCCACCAACCACACCAAGTCACATCTCACGTACCCTCTGGTCGGCCACTGTAAAGCCCACAGAGGCCCTGTGTCCGTCCCCAAAACTCATGGTCCACGGAAATGGAGATGGAACTGGACCTGTCCAGTCTCACAACAACCCCCAGGCCCCCAGAGAGCACCAGCCAGTCCCCCTGCCACTGCAGGCTCATTCCTGGGAAGAGGACAGGGTCATCCAGTCTTAAGGGTCACACTCCCATCTCATCACAGCACACACACCCTAAACTACCCAGGGAAAGAATTCACACAAATGTACAAGCTCTGTCTGCTGTGGTTTTCCTGCTGTGGCTGCTATCTTGAGAGAGTAAACTACAACACACACACACACACACACACACACACACACACACACACACACACTATATCCACACCACACATATACTATATCCACATTCCACTCGCAGCACATATACACATACAGTACACATACATGCACCACAACACACAAGATATATCACATACCTCACAGCATACACACACACATACCACACCTCTATACAGACAATGGACATTACACATACACTCCACCCACCCACCCATACCACACAGATACATGCACACTTAACCCCAACCTCCTATCTCAGCCATGATGACATTCTCATGAGGCAGGTGGGGAAACTGAGGCTCCAGACAGTTAAACAGAGTGACTTGCCCAAGTCATAGTTGAAGGCAGTAGGGAGCAGGCGAGCCAGGCTTATGCCTTCCTGATCCTTAATTTTTAAAAGCTTCCCAACAGTACTCAGGGGGATGCAGCAGCTCTGCCCCAGCCCACCACCCTGCCCTTAGGAGTGGGCAGACCACCCCAGAGGAGGGAAGGAGCCCTCACCGTGGAGCAGCCGAGGCTCCCCAACAGGCACTGGCTGGCCCTTCACGGAGACCTCTCCATCTTGGATCAACACCTCCTCGGGGCCCATCATCACTCGAACCTGAGAGCAAGCAGTGCATCAGAAGTGTAACTCTTCACCCCACCATGTCCAGACCTTCCCTGGGGTCATCTCTCTCCCTTCCTCACCAGCCAACAGTGCCCAGGCTGGGGACAGTGAACCCTAGGCCTGAGGTGGACAGCCCAGGTGGAATCCACAGCACCAGCTAGCAAGTAGGTACACTGGCCCAGGAAGTGGTAGTGACGCCCGTCAAAGGTTTGGTAATGGAAGCCGGACCAGGTGGAACAGGTAGCCGAGAGACGCTGGCGCTGGCTCCAGAGCTGGCCCACAGCCCCTGCCAGAGGCTGCAGGAGGGCTTCAGAGGAAGCATTGCCTGAACAAGATAGAGGTGTGAGCCTCTAAATGCAGGGACAGAGGCGAAGGGACAGTTCCTGGCACAGCGGGAGGTATGATGGCAGGGCGTGGTCCCTCCAGAGGGACCGTAGGAGTAGCCAGAGCCTGGCAGAAAGGCCCAGAACTCTTAAGGGTAAGGGTGAGGGTGAGGGTCGGGATGTGCCTGTCTCCAAGACTGGAAGCTGCAGACCCACCTGGGCGGTGCTGACCCCGACAGCTGAGACACATCTTGGAGCTGCTGTCCCACCAGCTGTGTCCCCAGGGCTGGGCGCAGCATTCTTCCAGGCTCCCTGCCGAAGAATTAGCCGAGCCTGCTAGAGGTTGGCACTGCCATGTGGCAAAGCAGTGGCCTGCAGGGTTGGCTTCAGCGAGGGCTGTGGTAGAGGAGAATGGGGCACATCCAGCCTGTCATTATATGGATGGCCCCGAGAGCCCAGCCAGACCTGCTGTGTCCTCAGGCAGTCTGTCAGCTCTGCGGCGTCACAGATGGGCTCCCCTTCACAGCCACTACCCCAGAAGGTACCATTCACCACCCCTGCTTGGGTACTTACCGTCAGTACAGTGAGGACCCCCCCATCCTGGACAGCAAGCCCTGACTGTCCGGTTCCAAGTAGCAGGCCGGGTTTCTGGGGGTCTGCACCCCACCATACAGGGGGAAGCGGGGAGAGAGGTTAATATTTAGCCAAGTCCCGCCACAAGGCAAGACCTAAGACCTTAGGTCTGATCAACTACTCCAAGGGGTCCTTACTATCAAGTAATTCTCCCCTCCTGACCTTAATTTCTTCACGTGTAAAGCAAGAATGAATGCTGGGAAGCAGCCTGGGGCAGAAGGAATCATGTCATATCTCTCCCTGCCATACGGTGCCCACCATGGTGCCCTCTCCTCCACCCACACCATCTCTCTCCACCCTTTCTGGAACCCAGCTAAAACCTGTTTCCCAAATGGCTGCTGCACCAGGTCCTCCCAGGTCCTCCCCCACTCTCAGGATATCCTGCTGCCGTCACTTTTTCCTTTCCTGCCCGGCAGACAGCCCAGGTTCTAACCCTCACTCACTTGTAGATGGCACAGAGCCCGAGTGCTGGGGGCCTGGTGAGCCCCACACGGCCACTCCAGGGCAGGTCCAGCTGCCAGCCTAGGCGAATATAATGGTACAGACTGGTGCAGGGTACCAGGTCCTCCTGACGGGGAGTTACTTCCTCTTCCACATGGATGGTCTCTGTCTGCTCACACCACCGCCTGTCCAGGGAGAGGGGAGAACAACTACCAGCTGGGAGAGGTTCTTGAAGCAAGGAGGACGTTAAGGGTGGATTGAAGTGCTGAAAGAAGAGTCTGGCATCCCAGAGGGTGCCTAGGCATAGGCACGAAGGAGAATCTTATTGGGAGAGCCCCATGAGCTGCTTACCCGTTAGTCAGAGCCCATAGCATCCCGAAGAGAAGGGCAGGGAGCAGCATGCTGCGCCACCCCAGGCCACTTTTGGGAGGACCTGAGGCTTGGATTTGGGCAGCGCTGGTCCCCTGGCCCACACTGAGGTTTGATGCAACCTGGAGGTCGGTCTGTCCAGGGCTCTTCACAAGGGGAGATTTTATCCCAGCTTCTTGCCCCTGGGTAGCAGCTGCCCAGAACCAGATTGGACCTACCTACAGCATCCCTTCAAATGCCAACTCTCCCTGGAAATGGGCCCCATCACAGCCCTCCCAGAGTGTGTGTGTGTGTGTGTGTGTGTGTGTGTGTGTGTGTGTGTGTGTGTGGTGGGACTCCAGCCAGGCATTTTGAGCCCTGGTTTCCTACACTTTCAAGCACTACCACAGATGAATGTGTGAGTGTGGTCAAGATATGTTCCCTTTCTGGGCGTCTGCGTCCTTACCAGTGAAAACTTTAGGGACTTCCCAGGGATGCAGAGATGGGGCTTGATAAGCTCTTTGAACTTACAGGTGTGAAGATTTTTCTGAGGGATAGTCTTCCCAGCCTTCAAAAACTACAGGCAGGGCTGGAGGGATGGCTCAGTGGTTTAGAACACTTGCTATTCTTTCAGAGGACCCAGGTTTGGTTCCCAGCACCCACGCAGTGGCTCACAACCACGCACAGCTCCAGTTCCAGGGGATCCAAAGCCTCTTCCTGATCTCAGCATCAGCAGGCACACATGTAGCAAACATACAAAAACCACTGCCTTTATTTTGGTGTCCTTCTCCATGCACGTTCCTTTCCCTGTTCCCTCTCAGGCCAGCTGCACAGAAAGAAGAGCTGAATGGCTGGAACACCCAAGTGTGTGGCGACAACCTGACAAAGCAAAGCCTTTCCTCAGTGGGGTCAGGTTTCTGGCTTTTATTTGTTTGGTTTTTTTGTTTGTTTGTTTTTGGGGTATTTCTACAAGGTATTTGGGGCCATTTGGTCACCTGTGGGGTTGCCGAGGGTCCCAAGGCATCCAGAAGACTGAAAGGATCTAGGAAGATGGGAAGGGGAGAGGGGTGGGATAGGTCTGAGAGCCTGCTTCCCCTGTCCAGGCTGGAGCTGAGCTGAGCCGGATGGAATAATCCCAGTGTCCGGTTCAGAGGAGGCGCCTGCAGGCTCCACAGGCAAATCCTGGTTACATCCTGGTTACTAGTAGACCTCCAAGGCCACTGGGACTGGAATGCAGTGAGACCTGAAACGCTGAACCCTTTCATTTCATAATGAAATGAGGTCCCACTGGGCATCCTGCATGGTCACCCCACCTGGTACTTCACAGCTGGCCTGGGTATTCCTTCTTCTATTGGGCCTGGAACCAGAAGAGGGCCCAGTTCAGTCCCTCCAGTTGCTTCCAGACAGCTAGTGTTGGTGCCTGGGAGTTGAGTTGAGTCCTGGGAAAGGGTCAGGGTGGGTCATGGCAAAATGTCCCTCTAACTTCTATACATGTGGATTGCAGTTCTCCAAGCCCAGTCTTGAACACACAAGAGGGACACTCAATCTGCTCCTAAGCCACCTGCAGTCAGTGAGCATGCAGGTATTAGAAAAACCTTTTGCATCCTGAGTCACAGGTCCTCCTGATCCTTCCTGTCTCCATTGCTCCAGACCTCACTCCAACCATCTGCAAAAGTCGAGGACACCCTTGCTGCATCCTGTTAAGATCAGTCTTGGGTCACTGTGTCCTGATTCAACAGGTGTCACCATCTTTGTGACGGGGTGCCATAGCCAGGGACCTTGTCCTGTCCACAAGGGCCATTTATTGCCCCCCCTCTTCTCAGACTCTCTCCCAACTCTGTTCTGCAACTTGGCTGACAAGGGGAACTTGGACTGGAGAGAAATATAACTTGGATCTGCCCTTTCCCCTACAGGGACAAGCAGGCGGAAGTGGGAGCCCATGGGAGTTTGCAGAAAGATCCCACGGGCATGGAATAACCAACCTCCTGGATTTTAGCTTCAGGACTGAAGGGGGACGGGGTCTCAGAAGCAGAGTGGGTGGGTAAGGCCCAGGAGTACGTGCAAAGACAGACGGTGGGAGAAGTCTGGGAGAGAGAGGTCCACACATAAGGCCATGAGGTTTTCTTGCCCACGGACCGAACCCCCTCCCGAGCCCCCGCCGAGCCCCGCCCAGCCTCACCCCCTGCAGCCTCCATGCCTGCCCAGTCCTTGCTGTAGGGGACTTGGCTCAACTTCTCCCCATTTTCAACATTGTGATCCCTCGCTCTCTCAGCTTGGTCCCTAGTCCTCAACCCCCGCAGCGGGTGTCGGATCTCGTCCTTCGAGTCTAGGTGGATCTTGGTGGAGAGTTTCCCTAACCGATTCTCCCACTCTCCACTGGCTAGACAGTCTCCTGTGGGACCGCGGCGACACTACATACTCGGCTGGCACTGGCGATTTTGAAGACAGCAGTGCACACACTGCCCTCCTCCCCAAACACGCCCCCTCCTCTCCCTGCTCCCCCCAACTCTTCACCACCACCACCACCCGGTTCCGCGCTCCACCTTTCCCCAGCTCCTCCCTCCTAAGCTGAGAGCACCCTCCCTCCTAGCCCGAGTGCCCTTCCTCCCTAGCCTCCTCTTCCCCTTCTCTCCTCTCTTCCCTTCCCCAGTCCTAAGCTCCCACCTTCCATCTCACCCCTCCGGGCATCTTGCCTTCAGACCGTCACCTGCACTCGAGCCTATTAGTGCACCCTTCCGTGACGGGTCTCTCGAAGACCCCTGGCCCCTGCCTCCTTTGCCTGGTGCCCCGGGGCAGTACTCCAGCTCCCCCCCCCCGGTTCCTCCCCCATCACCCGCAACGCTGCCCCACACCCTCTCCCTCCGCGTCTTTCCTTCCCCTCCCCGCGAAGTTTCAGGGCTGTCAGTCCCGGAGTCTTTCGGGCAGCCCGCACCCAAGCTGCAGGCAGCGGGCGCCATTGTGCACAGCGCCGCCCGGGACCGGAGGCCCGAGCGCCTGGGTCCCCGAAGCGGGCCGCGGCACATAGCCGCAGGAGACCGCCAGGTAAGGACAGGGGAGGTTCCTGGGCAGGCGTCTCCGCCTGCCACCCGAAAGGAGCTTGGCCGACGCTGCCGGCTCGCGGCAGGTGACAGCCCCGAGGGAAGGGGCGCGCAGGCGAGCGTGTGGGGGAGGGGCGGGGGGTCAGAGGAGGGAGGGAGGGAGGGGAGGGAGGAGGGAGGGAGGGTCCAGGAGCAGAGGGAGAGACTAGAGAACTGGAGGGGAGGGCAAGGACTCGGGGAGAGGCCCGGTGGGAGCAGGTGGGAAGGGGGAGGGAGGGGCCTGCGAGGAGGATCCCGAGAAGAAGGAGTAGGGTTCCTTGGGATAGGGTGTAGGAGGGGTCCAGCGCGCAGGGGCTGGAAACCAGGGGATGGGACCGCTCGGGAGCGAAGGACGCTGACAGGTGAGCCTAGAGCAGGGCAGGGGCCCGGGACCCGGAGTGACTCCCGGAGGTCTAACGGGGGCGGGGATTAGGGGGGAGTCTGGTCAGGAGGAAAACTCCAGAGAGGGTGAGAAGTCAATGGGGAGCAGAAATGGGCACCGGGGCCAGTGAGAGGGAGGTGTGTTGGGAAGAAAGGGGGATGGGGAGGGGCAGAGCCAGGGAGTAGGTTCAGGGACCCAGAGGTTGGCTTGGATTCCCCTGGAGTGGGGGGCGTGAGACCTAGAAGCTAGGGAGCAGACCGGGAGGGGGAGGGGAAGAACAAGGCTGGTGGGGACGGGGAGGGGAGGGAAGCGGAGCCGGAGCTTGCAGGGTAGGCAGAGGGGGAAGGGAGGCGGGGGCCGCTGAGGGGAAGGAGAGCTGCAGGAGGGAGGGAAGCAGAGGGGAGGATGGTGTGGGGGAGGGGGAGGGAACCGAGGAGAGGAAAGAAGGAAAAGAAACCCGAGTGGGGGAGGAGAGGGGAGGGGCAAGCGGGTGGGGGAGAGCAGCTGAGACGGGGAGGGCGGGAGTTGGGGGAGGAAGGAAAAGAGGAGGGGGAAGGAAGGGAGAGAGTATGCAGCCCGGGAAGGGAAGGGGGTGGCGCGCGGAGAACTAGGCGGGCGGGCACGGGAGGAAGGGGGAGGGGAGCGCTGCCCAAGACTGCTGGGAGCCGAGGGTCAGGGAAGGCGGTAGCTGCCGAGGGCCGATTCCAAGGGGGCCCCAAGGGGTTGACCCGGCGGGTGCGCGCAGGGGAGGAGCCAAGGGGGCGGGGCAGTAGGAGGAGCCCCAAAAGGCTGCCAGATTTGGTGGGGAGAGAGGGCGGAAGACTGAGGGTGAGGGGAGGGGCAGAGGGAAGGCTGCCAGGGAGGGGGGAGGGGAGTCTGCTAAAGGAGGGGCAGAGAACTGGTTGGAGGAGCAGGGAAGTACAAAAATCGGGGAGTGTCCTGGCCTGGTGTGGGGGTGTCCTAGCCTAGTTAGTCCTATGGGGGCTGTGTGGCTTTGAGGTAGGGGTTTAGGGAGAAGTTAGTCATTTACTACCTCTGCAAGGACCCTGTTCAACACCCCCCGCCCCAGTATCCCTAAAGGGACTCTACTCCCCCAAGGCTGGCTTCTGTTTCTCTAGCTCCTGCCATGATGGCTGGAGGTTCCACGAGAAGTTTCCCACTCTCCATCTTGGTCTCCCACCCTCTATCCAGAGAATTAAGTGGTCTCTACCTCCCCAGGCAAAGTGAGTCCCTGCCGATGGCCTTGGGGCTGGTTCTAGAGACTTGACAGGTGGGACAGGGGCTGATGTCTATAGCCAGCCAGAGTTTGCAGAAGGCTCCATGTCACTGGGTCCAATCTCAGAAGTTTCTGCTCCAAATGCGGTTTCCCGAGTTCCCTCACCTGTACCTAAGACATTACTCTGGTGCTCTTGGGGACAGCTGAGTCCTAGGTGGAGGCTGACAGGACGATTCTGAGCAGGGCTGTCTTTTTAGGGTCTGTGGCCTGATCACCTAGGAGAGCCACTCCTGGTGGCCATGAGAGAGACCCTGGAGGCCCTGAACTCCTTGGGTGAGTGGGGACAAAGGAACCAGGAGGGTGGGAGTTGCTAGGCATACATGGTGTAAATGCCATCCTCAGGAGTTGACAACCCTGAGCCCTTGGGAGTCTGGAGAGGCAGACATCTTTTTAAGTAAAATTTGGTCATATGTCTCTGACCAGCCCAGGATGGTTATACTAGACTGTCTGTATGCATGGGGTTCACAGAGAACTGGAAGCTAGGAACAAAAAATCACTTACTACACTTATGTGTTTATTTATTGTGTTCATCTTTATTACGTGCACATGTACATATATGGAGGTAAGGCCAATTTTCTGAGTCTGTTATCTCCTGCATGCAGGTTTTGGAAACCAAATGCAGATCATTAGGCTTAGTGGCAATTACCTTTACCCACTGGGCCGTCTCCCCAGCCCAGCACTGGAAGTTAAATTTTTTTCTATTTCAAATATTCATTTTTTTTTTCTTTCTTTCTTCCCCCCACTTCAATTAAAGGGGCTGGGGTTAGTAACTGGCCAGGCTGCTGGGGAGCTTGGGCAGTCCTTTGTCAATGCAGACAGGAGATACCCTCCTTCCACAAACCACCTAGGGAAATGCCCCATCTCTGATACCAATTCAATACTAGAAGCTTCATTTGAACTCATCCCTCTGCCTATAACAGGATTCTCAGTGGGACAGCCAGAGATGGCTCCCCAAAGTGAGCCCAGGGATGGGTTCAATAATACCCAGGGGAAGATGTCATCTAGGGAAGAGAGCACACTGCACTCATGCTCAGGTAAGTGGGGACAACGGAGGTCTCGGGAAAGAATATTCCTTCTTCCACAAGTCATCCATTACGCACCCACTCTGCCGAATGCTATTCTGGACATTTGGAACACCTTAGGCACAAACAGACCAGGTCCCTCCCTTCGTGGAGCTTAACCTTAGAGGGAACAGCAGTCAGCCAACAAGAAATTTAAACACAGTAAAAGTTTAGAAGATGGGAAGCGCTGTAGGAGGGTAAACAGAGTGAGAGGGACCTCGATGGCTGCAGATGGGAGAGGCAGGATGCCTACCGCAAGATCTAACCTGGCTTCTCACTATCCTCCGCACATGTTTCACCTTGGAACTGGGAGGTCTAACTGCTCGGATCAAAGGTCTTTCCTCACTTCCACCTCCTCATAAACATATAGTCCAGAAATTCCTCACAGTTGTGGCTCTTGTCCACCCTTAGCACCTGCTTTAATAACACTGGGAATTTGCTTTTGCAGGAATGGCAGAGGGCAGAGTTCTTTGGGTGGGTGGGTGGGAGTTCAGGCTTGCTTCCTAGTACCAGTGGGGACTGTCTTCTGTCTGTGATGTTTCGGGAGTCCTTGGGGACATCCTCTTCTTTTCCAGGGCATGAGACCCCAGGCCAGAAAGAAGGCATCCACACAGAACAAGCTGAAGCTCCGTGCATGGGCAGCCAGGCCTGTGCCCCACAGAAGGCTGAGCCTGTGGGCTCTGTGCCAGGTGAGTCTTCTGATGTTCTAGAATCAAGCAAAGGGAACAAGGACCGAGCAAGTTCCAGGGCTTCTCTCTGAGATGGCTGTGTTCCAGGCCCTGTCTCCTTTGCTCTGTAGGACTTTAGAACTCCAAAGGAGTTTCACATCTGTGGATGGTAGAATGGGAGAGGAAGGTCCCAAAGAGAAGTAATCCACTTCTAGAAGTCCCAACTCCTCTCATCATCCCCCCAGTTCATACATGCTGCTGCCCTCTTGGATTGTAATCCCCACAAAGATGTAGGGTGTTCATCAGCTGGTCCGCTGCCTCCACCTTGTGTGTTCCTTTTCTCAAACCTCTGCTGCTCTTCACGGTACCAAGGGTCCCCAGTCTGTAGCCCTCCCACCTCACCCCCCACGCCCCCACCCCGCTACCCCCTCCCCATCTGTAGTCATTAGCTCATCTCTCCCATTCCCCAGGCAATCACTCCATGGCCCTACCCATCACTTCTTCCATTCATCACCACTTGCTTGAATGGCGTCACTCACCCAACAAGGGTTTCTTTAGTGCCTGCTGCACAAAGGTGTCGAGTGTAGCAGGAAAAGACAGGGCGTCTAGCTGCACAGACCTGGGTTGCACCCTTGTTCTGCGCTGACCTGCTGAATGCTCTTGGGGTGGTGGTGCTGTGTTTCCTCCAGGGTGATTTGTTCACCTATCATCAGGGTGACAGTAACTTCATGGCTGGCATGAAGCTTTATGTCACTGCATGCACACTGCCTCATCCATAGTTGGCCTCAAATAAACGGTCACAGAGCTGATTTTGGTCAACACATAAAGACACTTTGTTATTGGACACAAAATTAGGATTCAAGATGTCTCCCATCCAGAAGCTAAAACGTAGCTGGGATGCTGTTACTATGAGGCAGAACAAATAATTAAATCAACAATACACAGCCACAGGTTTTTAATTAAGCACAGAAGCTAATATTAAATATTGCTATAGGAATTATGGTAAAGGATCCCTATCTGCTGGACGCGTCAAAGTGTTGCTTTGTGTACTGCATTGGGAGAGAAGCATAGATTTCAGGGGTTGCAAGTCGGGCGGGGGAAGGGAAGACCTGCTTGGTTGAGAAAGGACTTCCAGGCTGGAAGCAGGGAAGGTGATAGGTGACAGACTGAAGAGCAGCAGAGTGAAAGACAAAGCCGCTCGCCTGGATGAAGGAGGCTGGGGTAGGTGTGGGAGCTCGGTGCAGCTAGACGCTATTGCCGATCCTTGAGCAGAGGAGTGGCGTGGAGAGGAGAGGCCTGACATAAGAGGATGGGCAGACAGTGATTTGGAACCAGTGAGTTAGAAACTGGGAGTGGATGTAATCTGTGTAATATGATCAAGGCTCAGCCTATGACAGGCTTTCAGGGCCAGACAGCACTCAGATCATGTGGCCCAACAGTTCTCCGGCAAGATTCACTGGGGGAAGTGGGGGCGGGGGGCTTTAAAGGAAGAGGACAGATTCCTCTGCATGCATGGATGCATTTTGTGAGAGTTCCCTAGGAACCTGAATCTGCCCTTG